TAATAATGATGATTGCAGGCATATATAGTAACACTTTAAAATTTGCAAAATGCCTTATATAAATTTTCTAATTTGAACCTCGAAGCAATAGTGTGAGGTGGGTATTGCAAGTAAAGTTACCGATTTTTGGAGGCGAGGAGAAAGACTTGTCCGTGGTCCCATAACAAGTGTTAGAAAGGGTATTCAAACCCAGCTCTTCTTGACTCTAGCACTCCATTCTCTGTGCCATGCTATAAATCACCCCTTTATCTTTCTTTCAAACATCCATTTTTTAAAAGTGACATTTCCAGAGAAATTTTAGGGAGTTAGGGTTTGTTGCTGCTGTTGTATTGAAGAATCTGTATATTTTAGAAAATGGGGATGAGACTTTCAAAGGTAATAGAGGGTATAAATTTTGGTGGTAGAATAGGACTGAGATAATTTCGTAATCCCAATTCATTTTATTGTTTTAGAGAGAAGATATTGAAAAAATTATATGCAAAGGGAAGGGGGAAGGAAACTGGAAGGGTATTCCAGGGGTGGGGAACCTGTAGCCTCGAGGCCACATGTGGCCCCACCCCTGGAAGCATTTGTATAGCACCTACTATGTGCCAGGGACTTGCTAAGCATTTTACAAAATATTATTTCATTTGACCTTCACAACAACCCTGAAAGTTAGGTGCTGTTATTATCCTCATTTTACAGTTGAAACTGAGGCAAACAGAATTGAAGTGATGTGCCCAAGGTTACACAGCTAGAAAGTATCTGAGGCCAGATTTTAACTCAGGTCCTCCTGACTCCTGGCTCAGTGCTCCACCTAGGTATGGCAACGTTTTTGTTATATTTTACTGCACTATTTGCGGTTTTTAAATGGTAGCTTTGGCGTAACCAATTGTGACTTGGCATCACAATATAGTCACCCAAAGAGAATCAGGCAGGTGTCGTCAACTCTTGATTATTAAATAACTGGTTCTCTAGTTTAGTGTTACCCAGGTCTCATGTTTTCCCCAACTTCTTGTCTTTCGATCCTTTGTTCACTTGGTATTTCCACCAAAAAACAAGGGTGCATTTTTTTTCTTGTCAGTATCTTTTAAAAAGGTCAGAAAGAGAACAGTGCCTTACATGTAATAGATGCTTAATAATATTTGTTTTCACAGGGATGACATTAGTGCCTCTATTGAATTATTCATTGTGACATGTTAATTTACTCTTCACCTCTATGTAGCATGAACTATCAAGAATTTACCTTTTAAGATGTTTTATATTTGTGCCCTGTTTATTATACAGTGTTGCTTTGCCTATATTAGTTATGGAAATTTTTAATAATAATAATAATAATAATACTCTGATAATTTATACTCAGTGTTCTAATATAAAATCTGATTATGTTGACTAAATGTGAACATATTAATTTGAGGTCATGGAAATGCAGTGCAGTAGTAGGTGTATAGTGTTTTGAGGTTTACAAAGCACAGATTCCAATATAAACTCCTTTCTGCCCTTAGTGATTTTAACATGTTGTGTTTACAGTTTGTGTCAAAGATGCCACGTGTATTCCTATTGATATTTGAACCTGTCAGCACCAAAGTACAAGCATTTCCATCAAATGTGTGCATTACTGCAGGAAACAAATTGTATGTCATTTTGTTAGAGATTGACTGTACCTTCCCATTTTGTATTATCAGTACTCAAATAATAGTGTTTGAGTACTGATAATGCAAAATGGGATCTTATTCACTTAATATATTTTGCATGTGCTTGTGTTGTCTTTCGAGTTAGAGTATAAGCTCCTTGTAGGTAGGAAATGCAGCTTATTGTACTTGTGTATCCCATAGCACCTATTACAGTGTTTTGTATGTATGGTGTAAATGGTGTAGTAATATTTCAATTATCAGTTACTCAGATGTCTAGCAGAGTTAACTGGCTACAACAGCCTTGAACCAAGAGGTGGTACAGAAGTTTTCACATCTTGGAGTATGGTGAGAAGAATTGAACCCATGATGACAAAAGTTTGTTCATTGTTCAAAAGCTGGATTCTTCCTCTTTGACCAAAAGTAGCTGTAAGTCAGGCCTCAAAGTCAAGCAGCTCAGGAGATATAGGAAAAAAAGAAAAGTAAAGAGAAGGAAGTGGAAGTTGAGGGCTGGAAGATGACTTACTGATGGTAGAGAACAGGAATGGCTGAAAGCAGAAGGAGGAGAGCAGAACATTTTGGGATGTTCTGTGTAAGGGTAAGAAACCCTGCAAACATTGGTGGCCCTGGAGATTATTTCTATGTTGCAAATAGTCCCACAGTGAAAGCACAGCCGCTAGAATAGTACAACAATTTTGGTAGATATTAGCGGTAGGGCCAACTGAGTTGTACTAATTTCAATCATTTAGTCAGTGAATGTTTTTCATATGTTTGCCAGGTACGTTGTGCTCTCAGGTTACAGTGTCCAATTGAACAAAAGTTTATTAAAGCATCTGCTATATTACACATGGTGGGAAGACACTGTGTTGTAATAGAAAATCAGCCTTAAGAGTTAGGAGGGCTTAACCATATGCAAGTCACTGAATTTCTTGGTATCACAGGTAGCTCTCCAAGACTGTTAAGTTACACTGAAGTTTCTGATCTTATGCTCTTATGAGACACCTCTCCCCTGAAACAGTGTGTATACATATAGGGGTGTGTGTGTGTGTGTGTATGTGTGTGCGTGCGTGCGTGTGTATGTATGTTCATGGGAGAGAGGGAGGGAGAAGGAATGAGAGATTAAACATTCCTTGCTCTCAAGGAACTTATTCTACTGTTTAAAAAAAAACAAATATACTTAATTCCCTTGAAGAGAATTCTTTTATTAAGATAGCACAGCACCAGAGTCATGGTATCCAGTACAGTATAGCAGCTTCTGGTGGGGTGTTCGCTACCATAAGCAAGCCATGCCAGTAAAATGTGTGTTGTAAAAGCCATCCAATGGTAGAGATTACAAGCTTTCTCTAATGAAAGGTAAAGAATAAACGTGTTAACTCAATTAATGCTAACCTTAACAAAAAATAAAGGTCTGAAAATGGCATGAAAAATTGCAAATAGGAATATTTTGATGGATCAGTACAGTATTGATTTAGCCATGTTGCATGACATTGCAGTTCAAAAAAATTACCTGGTCTAAGTTTTTGCCATTAAAAGTAATTTAAATTGAGTTGATTTTTTTTGTTTGTTTGTTTGTTTCTTTTTGTTTTTTTTTTGGTAGCACCACACTTAACCTCAGAGTTGTGTGAAAACTGCCTTGGGAACTTTAAAGTAGTATATAAATGGGAATTGTTATTACCAAATTAGAACACCTAGACTGTATTTTGTGAGTGATTTTCCATGAAAATAGGTACACTTATCTCTAATCCAAAGTATTTTTTTTAATGAGTTTTAACAGTTACCTGAACTATTTGTATTTTTTGAATGTTGGCTTTGGCATATCCAACTGTGACTTGGTATTAGAAATGTAGTTGCATCTAGTTAAAAAAAAGTCAGTAAAACATGAAACTGCAGAACAGTTTTGTGATCAGAGAACTAATTTCTGAACACAGTCTATCCAGAGAATAGTTTTATAGTATAATAAAACTGATCTCTTTGGGTGATGTCCCTTAGAGCAGCATTAAGAACAATTGTGTATCATGTGCATATGCTGCAGCTGCCCATAAACTGAAGGCTTTAGTGATTTGAAATTGAATTGTCCTAGAGCTTTCAAAAGTGTCACCTGTTTACCAGTGGCTTATAGACATAATACCTGCACAAATTTTTCCCCTGATTGGTTCTGTCATATTTTTGTACCAGCAGTGAAAGAACATTTCAGAAACATAGCTTACCATAGGGCAGGAGAGCTATACTGTTGTTAGTTATCATTCTCATTCTGAAGAAGGATTAGGGTCTGGTTTTATTTTTACTATCATTCTCTTCCTCTCCCCCATACCTCCAGTATTACCTTATTGATCTAAGCTCTGGAACCAGGTGTTGATCAGAATATGAAATGTTATTAAAAAAGATTTCATGAGAAAAGTCAATCAATCATGTAGGCAGAAAAGACTTTCGATGCCGTATCTTCCTGTGAGCCTAAGATGCAGTTAAATTTTTGTATGGTTGTGCCTGTAAAGTCAAACATTAAGGAGGATGTGGAGAAAATTGCAGTATGTTTGCCAAGGTTTCTTATGATGGGGGCTGCCTCTCTACGCCCCATCAATAGACTTAATTCACTTGAGATAGAAAGGTATACCCTGCTAAGGAGATAACTGTTGTTTTTTGTGTTGGTGATGCAGAAATCATGAAAAATGTTTCTATTCTGCTGATGAGTCAAACACTGATGATAAAACTGAAGAAGCTTTTTTGGAGGGCAGGAAAACTCCATGGGAAAAGGTCATTTTAGCTGTTAATTCTATAATAAATTCTATAGAAAATCAGCCGTTATCACATTGCCTTAGAGAAGTCTTTCTTTCCACTTTTATGAGAAAGTAAAATGACCATATTGTGAGGTCATTTTTTTCTTTTTAAAAAGATAATCTAAGTATAGTCAACCCCATATCCTGTACCCATCACACACATTATATTACATATATTACAGATATATTGACATTAGTATGACTGATGTTCTCAAGAAAATTAAATTATGTTCAGTATGCATTGTTTACTAAGACAGAGGATGTTGTTAGCATATCAGGATTTCCATAAAATAATTAAAAATTAAATTAAAACATTTTAGTATTTAAAGAGTTAATCTTTACCCCTTGCCATACTGTGGTATATAATTTTAACTGTGGGATATCGATTTGTCTCTCATCTTCCTTTTCTTTTCACTGGTATTCCATTGATTTAAAGATGTAGTTTAAAGCATAATTATGTTTTTGTCCCTTGAAAATCTTTACTAGATTGTATAATAAATATTACTGTCTTCATGACCACCATGACAGTTATTTGCTTGGCTGGAACTATTCTTGTGAGGCAGCAAATTACCAGGATTTCATTTGAAATTTTAAACTATTTTTTTTTTAACTATAGTTTTATTAGTTCCCTGGGAGTGAGTTACATGATGCTGTGTACCGAAAATTACCCAAATGTCTTGGCTTTCTCTTTCCTGGATGAGCTTCAGAAGGAATTCATCAGTACTTACAACATGATGAAGACAAACACTGCTGTCAGACCATACTGTTTCATTGAATTTGGTAAGTGCCTCATAGTTTTTATTTATTTTCACTACATCTTACTCTTTTCCAGAAACTAAGTTAGGTGATCATATAGTTTTTTAGCTGATCCTTAAAAACTGGCAAATCCATAGACTGTTCAGATGCTTTTATATAGAGTATAATAACTTGGCATAAATAAAATACTTCAAAATAGCCATGATTTCATTGGTCCCAGTACTTCTGTCACCACAACAGTTCATCATCATCCCCTCTACCCTTAAAGTGTAGTTTTCATGAATTACTATCAAAAAATGTCATTACCTGTTGGCCTGCTTTCTGGTGATAAGCTTTTTTTAATTAATTAATTTTTAATTTAGTTTGGTTCTTGGGCAGTAGCAATTGACTGTTGCTGGACCTGCCCTCAAAGCCTTTCCAGATCAGTAGACCATGGAACTGGCCATAGCTTGTACTCTGTGATCAAGGCCTTGATGAGCTCAGAATTACCTTGCAGGTCATGATGCTATTGGGGTAGGGCCTGGCAAATATTTTAAAAATTTGTTAGTTAACATATTAATAAATGATAGTCATGTTATATCTAATTAAAACATTCAGTAGGGTTAAGTGTGTAGGAAATGTGAAGGGGATAGAATGCTCTAATTGGTTCAGAGAATTATTCTCTGAAGTCATTAATATGAGATATTCACAAACTAAGAGTTCAGTTTTCTATTTGTTAAGTGTTCATCTTACTTGCTTAATGTAGAGGAAAAAGGAGAAGAAAATTACTTGTACAATCCTGCAGCTAAGTCATACAGATTTTAAAGCCAAGTGTCAAATAGTAAAAAATAAGTTCCACATAGAATACATTTAGGAAATGGCTTTCATTGATTTCATTAATATGTGTACTAGTTTCATAAATGTGTTTTTTAGAGACAGTAGTAAAGGAAGAATTTAAAATCTATATTTCTAATAAGCTGTGGGCAATAGATTAGTATTAAATAGTCAATTTGAAAAATCATGCTATATGTAAAATATCTATTTTTAAATATTAAAATTAATTTTACAGTGGAAGTGATTATGTAATCATAGTTGGTAAACATTGACAGATTCAACATTTCATTAGATAAAGACCTTTTTCTTAAATTTGAAAAGAGTTCTGAAAGAGAGTGATGAGAGGAGTGTTGTTCTCTATAATCACTATTAAAATAGATAAAATTTTAATACCTGTGTAGTGTCACAGTTGTTTCTGCATCATCTTAAATGATTTAATTACCTAGTGTGTCTTTGAATTTTTTTTTAAATTTTATATAGATAACTTCATTCAGAGGACCAAGCAGCGATATAACAATCCCAGGTCTCTTTCAACAAAGATAAATCTTTCTGACATGCAGACTGAAATCAAGCTAAGACCACCTTATCAAGTTTCCATGTGTGAACTGGGATCACCCAATGGATTCACATCTTCATTTTCTGTGGAATGTAAAAGTGCTAGTAAGATTTCTTCTGGTGAGTTTTGAATTTTAATTATTTCATTCCTCTTAAACGTTTGGTATGGATAACATTTCTGCTTTATCTGGTAATTGAAGTACCTTTTAAGCAAAAATTGAAGTGCCTTTTAAAATGAATTGCTTTATTCTCATGCTTTAAACCAGGTATGTGGAAGTACTACAAAAGTACAAAGTGTAATATTTTTTCCTGTGACTTGGAGAGTATCAATGTAGGTAAGATTTAAAAAAAGGGATTTATCTACAAAAAAAAAATTCTCAGATTTCTTCACTATTAAATTACTCTTAAGTGACTCTTTTTTAAAAACCCCAGAAGAATAATAATTTTGTAACTTGTTGAGAAGAATGTGAATTGCTTCTGCCAATTTATAATTTACCAGTTGGATTTTAGGGCAAGATTCTTGACTGTCAGAGAAAACTCAAATCAGCAAATATTTATTGCCACATATGAAGCATCCTTGCTGAGGCAACTTGGGAAACAAAGATGAGTAAAATATACTACCTTCCCTCCAGAAGCTCACAATGTAGTGGGAGGGGAGCGGCATTGTAATGGTTAAGAGAGTAGCTCTAGTAGCAGTAATGCTTCTACAAGGCAGAATACGATCACTGCTGTAAGAGAGGTTAGGGCCAGGTTTCATTGAGTGAGCAGCTTTTGACATTGACCATGAAGAAAAGGTGTGATTTTGACTTGTGGAATAGTGTGCTGAGGACATTTCAGGTGATTAGAACAGCATAGTAAAAGCATAGATGCAGGGGGGTGTGAGGCATAGATGGAGAATAAGTGATTAAGTTCTGTTTGGCATGGCGAGAGCATAGGGCACTTTTAGAAAAGTAGTGGAAGATGAGGCTTAGAAAGGTTAGGGTTATATTTTGGAGAAAATATTCAAATAAATTTATGCATCTGTGTTTATGAGAAACAGCATGAAGTAATGGATAAAGAGCTGGCTTCAGAAGCAGGTAGACCTAAGTTCAAATCCTACCTCTGAAATATATGGCTTTGTGACCCTAGGCCAGTCACTTCATCTTTCAGTGACCCAGACAGTGGATTATGGGTGTAGAATACCCCATATAATGTCATACTTTGTTGATCTGTTGGTTTTGATGAAATGTTTCTTTTTATCTTTTTTTATTATAAGGGATAGCTTATAGATAAGGGTAGGGAAGGAGAGGGGGTTGAATTGGGAAATGAAGGTAAAAACAAGAGATAGCAATAAAATTTAAAAAAACATTAAGACTACAGATTGCCAAATAGTTGTAGGTCTACATTGCTAAAGGTAATTTCCTCGCCAGGACAATGAAATCACGTCCCACATTTCCTTCCCTGCCCCTTCCTTATGCATTATAGTAATGGATACTTTGATTTAATACTTTAGATTTATAAAATGCTTTTTTTTTAAAACAACAGCTGTTTTGGAAAATATCTTAGAAGCTATTTATTTTATCAGATTGATCAAATGAGATGATATTTATGAAGTATTTGCCACAGTGCCTGGCATGTAGTGGGTGTTATATAAATCCTTATTCCCTTCACTTCTATTCAAGTAGTAGGCCATGCATGAATCACTTCTCTTCTGGCTTCTGCTTGATCATTTTCAGTGATCAGAAGCTGTATTTTACAAGGCAAACTATTTCATTGTTGAACATCTCTCATTATTAGAAAATTCTTTCTTACATTGAGCCAAAATCTGTCACATTTGAGCTTCTACCCAGTTGTCTAGTTGTCTTAGGACTGTCTTCCAGAGTAATACAGAAGAAATTCACTTCCCCTTTCTTATGATAGCCCCTCAGATATCTTTGGACTGGTAATCATGTTCCCTTGAATCCTTTCTTAATTAGAATAAGCTTCCCTATCTTCTTCAGCTGTTCCTTATGTAACATAGTTTCCTTTGGCCTTTTGTTCAGGTCTCTTGAAATACTTTTGAATCTTGATATAAAACTCATAGAAATGTAAAGGTGGAGATGTGAAAAAGTTTATAGAAGTAGAATCAACAGGTAACTCATGAATATTTGAAGGGAATGTCCTTCAAAGTCAAGATAGCAAAGTCAAGAATATGAGATACTAGGTGAACCATAATAGGATCATTGAAAGAAAGAGTGAGATCAGAAGAAGCAGATGTAAGGGAAAAGTTAGGTTTGACTGTTTATGTTGACTTTGAAGTGTCAGTGGGACAAATAAGAGAGATTCTGGAAGCATTTGGAGATTTTGATCTAGAACTTGGAAGAGTGTTCATAGCTAGGGAGAGAGTGTTTAGGAAGCCATATGCATAAACATGATTCTTGAAGTTAAGAGAATGGATGAGATTGTCAAGGGAGAGGAGTATATATGGGAAAAGAAAGGTCTAAAAACAAGAACTTAAGGAACACCAACTTAAGACATTGGGGAAAAGTTGAGAAATGAGTGACATAGGAGTGATAAAAGACAGAGGAAAAGAAGCAGAAAAAAAGTGGAATATCTGAAGCAAAGGGAGGAGAGTGTTCCCAAAAGAAGGATATGGTCAGCAGTGCTGGATGGTGCAGAGAGCTTAAGGAATATGATGGCTGAATAACGGTTCCTGGATTTGGTGATTAGTGATCTTTGAAAGAGCAGTGTTTGTTTTTTTTTTTAAGTATTTTATTTTTTTTCAGTTACATGTAAAGACAATTTTTAACATTCATTTTTTTGTGAAATTTTGAGTTCCAATTTTCTCCCTCCTTCCCTCCTTTCCCCTGTTTCTAAAATACTAAAGCAATTTGATACAGGTTATAAATGTGCAATCATGTAAAACATATTTCCATATTACTCATCTTGTGAAAGAAGAAACAGACCAAAAGGAAAAAAAACCCACATAAAAATGTAAGTGAAAATAGTATGCCTTGAACTGCATTCAAGCTCCATCAATTCTTTCTCTGGATGTGGGTAACATTTTCCATCATGAGTCCTTTGGAATTGTCTTGGATCATTGTATTGATGAGGAGAGCTTAGTCATTTTCATAGCTGATCATTGCACAATGTTACTATACTGTGTACAGTTGTTTGCCTGGTTCTCCTCACTTCACTTTGCATCAGTTCATATAAGTCTTTCCAGGTTTTACTGAGAGCATCCTGCTCGTCATTTCTTATAGCACAATAATATTCCATTACATTCATTTACCACAACTTGTTCAGCCATGCCCCAATTAATGGAAATCCCCTCAATTTCTAATTCTTAGCCACTGCAATTCTGAGAAGCTATCATATGAAAGGATAAATAATTAATCTGGTAAAAGATTTTTGTACTTGTAGATCCTTTTTCCCTTTTTTATGATCTCTTTGGGATACACACCTATAGTGGTATTGTTGGATCAAAGGGTATGCACAGTTTGATTGTTCTTTGGGCAGAGTTCCAGATTGTTCTCCAGGATGGTTGAATTAGTTTACAACTCCACCAACAGTGCATTAGTGTCCCAATTTTCCCACATCCTCTCCAACATTTATCATTTTCTTTTTCTGTCATATTAGCCAGTCTGATAATTATGAGGTGATACCTCAGAGTTGTTTTAATTTGCATTTCTCTAATCAATAGTGATTTAGAGCATTTTTTCATATGACTATAGGTAGCTTTGATTTTTTTCATCTGAATACTACCTGTTCCTATCCTTTGACCATTTACCAGTTGGGGAATGACTTGAATTGTTACACATTTGACTCAGTATATATTTGAGAAATGAGGCCTTTATCAGAGACACTTGCTGTAAAGATTCTTTTCTAGCTTTCTGCTTTCCTTCTAATTCCTTGCATTGGTTTTGTTTGTGCAAAACCTTTTTAATTTAAAATAATCAAAATTGTCCATTTCACATCTCGTGATGCTTTCTTTCTTGTTTGGTCAGAAATTCTTCCCTCCCTCCATAGATCTGACGGGTAAACTTTTCCTGCTTTCCTAATTTGCTTATGGTATTACCCTTTATGTCTAAATTGTGTACCCATTTTGACCTTATCTTGATATATGGTGGAAGACGTTGGTCTCTACCTAGTTTCTGCCATACTCTTTTTCAGTTTTCCCAGCAGTTTTTGTCAAATAGTGAGTTCTTTTCCCAGAAGGTAGGGTCTTTGGGTTTATCAAACACTAGATTACTGTGGTCATTTACCACCATGTCTTGTGTACATAATCTATTCACTGATCCACCACTCTATTTCTTAGCCAGTGTCAGATAGTTTTGATGATTGCCACTTTATAATATACTTTGAGATCTGGTTCAGCTAGGCCATCTTCCTTAGCATTTTTTTTTTTTCATTAATCTCTTTCATATTCTTGACCTTTTGTTCTTCCAGATAAATTTTGTTATTTTTTCTAGTTCTATGAAATAGTTTTTTTGGATGTTTGATTGGTATGGCACTGAATAAGTAAATTAATTTAGGTAGAAATGTCATTTTTATTATATTGGCTTGGGCTATCCATGAGCAATTGATCTTTTCCTCTTTGTTTAGATCTGACTTTATTAGTGTGAAAAGTGTTTTGTAGTTATGTTTATATAGTTCTTGGATTTGTCTTGGCAGGTAGACTCCCAAGTGTTTTTATATTGTCTACAGTTATTTTAAATTTTTTGCTGCTGAGCTTTGCTGGTAATAGAAATACTGATGATTTATGTGGGTTTATTATATCCTGCAACTTTGCTAAAGTTGTTAATTATTTCAAGTAGTTTTTTTAGTTGATTCTCTAGGAATCTGTAAGTATACCATCATATTACCTGCAGAGTGATAGTTTTGTTTCCTCATTGCCTATTCTAATACCTTCAATTTTTTTCTCTTCTCTTATTATTATAGTTAACATTTCTAGTACAATATTGGATAATAGTGGTGATAATGGGCATCTTTGCTTTACTCTTGATCTTATTGGGAAGGCTTCTAGCTTATTTCCATTACAGATGTTTGCTGATGGTTTTAGATAGATACTACTTATGAAAGAGCAGTTTCAATGAAGTTTTGGCAATACTTTGGCAATAGATTTTCAAGCATTAAGGAGAGACTAGGTGTTGTGGAAATGA